TGTTAAAATACATCGTGAAAAGCGCTAGAAATCAATGATTTTTTGGGCTTGAAAATTTTCTGTTTAGCTAATTTCCTATATAGGGAAATAGCTATTACTGTAGGTCTCATGGTAAGACCTGGACCCAGGCCCGGGACCGATTTACTTTTTGGTTTTGAGGTCCCCAGAGGCTAAAAACACCCTCCGTTCAAATTCATACAGTATATATATCTATATATCTAATTCCGTAAGACCAACATTTTACAATGAAATTGTGAGCGAACGGGAGGCCGTAGAAATCTGGGAGGGGTCTCATTTTAAAGGTCTGGGCATGAAGTTTTGGGGAAAATTATTCATTTTTCTTAATAATGCACCAAAATGTTATTACGGAATAAGATAATTCACATTTAAAAAGCATAGGAATCCAGTTAATTTCTGCTTTGTTTACTTTAAAACATGTGGTTTATCTTTATTTAAAAGCATGCAATATGTATACTATTATAAAGCTGAAATAGAGTATTTCCCAATTTAAGGGTCTGGATTAGTTAATAGAGTACGATTGGTTGTTTTAGGTATGTCTGAAGAAAGTGTAAAGTTAGAACTAATTACTGGAGTAGGCAAAGGGAACATATTTTTCATGCCAAAAATAAAACTAACATCTACAGATATTCAATCCTACTTCGATTAGCTTTCACTATTACTTATTATTAAAGCGCAATGCCAAACCTTCACAAGTTGGTATTTATTTGAAGTGTTTACCCATGGTCAACTTTATGTTGCTTTTAACCGCGTAAAGCGACCAGATGATGTTAAAATAATACTAGAACCAAATAAAGATCAAGGAATCGACCTAAGTCATAAGTCATAACTCATTTATTCAGCCAAATCAACCAAATACAATTAGTGTTAGCTATGTCAAAATAACTAAAATAATTCAAATCAAAATAACCTAAATGGATACTATACAACAAAATGTTGTTTTCAGAGAGATTTTGTTATAGAATTAGGATTTTACAATTTGGAGGATGACATTATCTCTATGTGTTTTATTTGAGTGAATTGCAGACATCAAAATGCATTATACAGGTATGTAATAACTGTTATAGATATTGTAATATACAAACATGTTTTCAACGGTAATTCAAGGTAGGGTAACCCATTAGACTAATAAATTGTACAAAATAATAACTAGAATATATAAATAGGGGCTATTGCCCCTACAAGCCAATAGTATTATATATTTGTATATACTGTAGGTGTCCTTTAGCGTGATAACTCGAACAAAAATGAGAAGATTTTGATGAAATTTGGTACAAATGTGTAAACCTACATTTATTCAAACGAGTTCGTGAACCAGCATAATCGTACTAAGTGAACGGGGTTTTGTGGGGGGTTTTATGGGGTAAAAAATGGTTTTCCCCTTTTTTGACTCTAAAATCATAAAATTTAACAATTTCTTTTCAGACCATTTTGTTGAGCTTAAAAAAAGAAATAATTTTGTATATTGAAGCGTTGTTGTATGCCTAACGGTTACAGAGGTGATTATAAAAATCTTTAAATTTTAAATTCCCATGTTATTCTTATGGAGAATAAATAAACTGTTATAGTTTGCTTGTTTATGGGCATACATTGAATCAATTTTGGCAATTTTGTTTATTTCATACTAAGCTATTAACATTTCAATCAAAAACACACCACAATATCTTCCCTGTAGCAACAAACCTAGTTACTCATTAAATTTAATGTTATTTAAATAGGAAATAAATCTAACAATTTTAAGGGAATATTTTAGTAGAAATCCTGCCAGGTAAATGGAAATTTGCTTAGTCTGCAGGCTTGCTGTGGCTTTTATTTTGTAAATTGGTTCAACCTTGGAAATCGTTAAATTTTCAGGAAGAATGCCAGTTATAAAAAAGCTAGCCTATTTAATTAAATACACTAAGGGTTTTAATAATGGCTCCCCTACATGCTTGATTTGTTTCAAGGGAACCTCATCATGACCACTAGAAAGTTTATTTTTAAGGGACAAGATGACGTGTTTTATCTCTTTCTCATTGACTGGGTAGCATTGAAATCTATATTTTAATTTCATTTTGGAGACCATCAGGTATTTGTGCTTGCCCAAGTGATGACTGAGAACAAGAGTTTAACAATGTTTTTTGTACTACGAGGGTCGTCTCAAAAGTAAGTTACACATTTGTTTGAAATCACAGCGTCGAGCGCTAGAAAGCTGGGAGTCGCGGGGAATTTTCATCTGGATGTAGTGGCAACACTGTAAACGTCGCGGCCGCCTACGGCACTCGCCCCTCCGGTATCGCTTTGGCAATCATGGAGACACCACTTGTTCCCACCACCGATTGTGAAATCCGTGCAGTAATTAGATTTTTGACTGCAAAGAATAAAAATGCAAGTGAAATTCATCGAGAATTGTGCAGTGTTTATGGTGAAAATGTGATGTCTAGGCCAATGGTTTCCTGCTGGCGTCAATCGTTTATTGATGGACGAAAATCGTTACACGATGAACAACAAAGTGGCCGCCCGTCCACTTCCTGCGCTTTGACTGTTGTTGAAGATGTCCGCAAGGTCATTGACACCGACCGGCGCTTGACATTGGATGAAATCATTACACAGCTTCCTCCAAATGTTGAAATTAGTCGTGCGTCGCTTCACATAATCATTTCGGACGATCTCAGTTTGTCAAAAGTCTGTGCAAGATGGGTGCCACGCCTTCTTTCAGAAAGGCATAAGGAGCAAAGGGTTGATGCTGAACACAAACACAAGACCTTCTGGAATCCTTCCGATGGGATGTTTTCGGCCAACCACCTTACTCTCCTGACTTGGCGCCGAGTGAATTTCATCTCTTCCCGGAGTTGAAGCGGCATTTAGGCGGGAAGCGCTTTGAAAACGAAGACAAACTGAAACGGGAGGTGGAACAATGGCTAACCGAAATGGCGGCAGAGTGGTATGATGCTGGACTAAAAAAACTGTTGCCACGTTATCAAAAATGCCTTTAAAAAGATGGTGATTGCGTAGAAAAATAGTCTATGTATGTATCTTTTAAAATATACCCTTTTAAAATCAAATTTGGCTTTTTTTATTTATTTTTGAAATAGGTGTAACTTACTTTTGAGACGACCCTCGTGATTCCACTATAGCTTTAATAAAAAAATGTATTAAAAGTATTTGATATAGTTTATGGGTCGCTTATTGCCAAATTTTCATGCTTAATTTTAGAAATTATTTTCTTTAGACTGTCTGAATTTTTACCTGTGTACCTATATTGATTATTTCCCAAGTTTCTTTTTATACGTTGTCTGAATTTTTTATTTTTTCCCTTAATAGCTTGTTTTTATAATCTTTATTAAATTTTTACAGTGATCTAAGAGATGATCTCCATATTACCTGTAATCTTAGCTTCTTTAGTCAACTCCACATTTTTATATTTATTGTTCAGTTACTAAATCTGCACCAATTCAGTCACACTTATTTATATTTAATTTTAAATTCCTTTTTACTATCTTTTAAGGAAATACTAAAATTAAAATAGTATTGAAATATGTTTTTAAAAGTGTTAAACTTATCCTCTACCCTAGCCATGTATAAAGGTAACCAGTCTTCATATTGGAGTTGTCTGAGAAAAATATTCATGTTTCTTTCTGAAAAATCCATACTATCAATGTATTAAAATTTATTTTGTGAATTATGATCAGTCGGCAGTTTAAGCGTTATGATCTGAAAGATTTGTTATAAACCAAGTTACTTCTGTGAGAGATTGATCTAAATTGGTAAGAACATTGTCTATCGCTGTTGCTGATGCCCTGATCCAGTGGGGATGTCTACTAAATAACTAAAACTATAATAAGCAAGAATATTTTTGAAAAACTGGACCTCTGTTTTTACACTTTAAAAGTCAATATTAAAATCTCCCACTAAAAATATAAATTGTTCTCCTTTAAAGCAACTAGAGTTTCTAACAGCCTATCCTATCTAATAATATTTTGCATCCGAGGCTTTCCGTATATACGTACAAGAACAAACTTAAATTTATTAATTTACACATTGCTACACAACATACAAAAAGTTTTTCTTCCGTAAGCTTTTCCAACTTTTTTTAATTTAAAGGCCTAGCTTTCAAACCCTTCTCTGAAAATAACACCACACCTTACCTGAAGTGGTGGTACAACAATACTCTTAAATTAAATCTTTCTAGATTACCTTTAGTCATATTATGCTCAGTCAAAACAACAATATTTGGTTTTATCTCTTCCATTACAATTTCCAAAGACTCTTTTCTAGATGACAGGTGATGTATATTTTGATGATGTGTTTTAATTGATTTAAAACTTTAAAAAGATGATAATTTTGTTTTTGAATTTTTTGTCAATTTTAAATTTAAGTCAGGTTGACGAGGTAAGTCAGTAGTTCAATATAAACCTTTTTAAAAAGCTTCTTCATACAGCTTATGAATGCAAACAACCTTTTACATGTGGTACACTTTGAGGTTTCTCTCCTGTGAACCAATGAATGTTTCTTCATGACATATTTGAAAGTAGGCTAAAAGATTTTTCACACATATTACACTTATTTACATTTGTAAAGTCTCTCTCCAGTATGAACCATTGTATGTTTCTTCATACTGCCTATTCTTGCAAAGGATTTTCCACATGTAGTACACTTATAAGGTCTCTCTCCTGTATGAACAAATGTATGTGTCTTCATATTGCTTATTTTTGCAAAAGATTTTCCACACGTAGTGCACTTATAAGGTCTCTCTTTTGTATGAACCAATGTGTGTGTCTTCATATTGTCTATTCTTGCAAAGGATTTTCCACATGTAGAGCACTTATATGATCTCTCTCCTGTATGAACAAATGTATGTGACTTCAGATACCTCTTTGAAGTAAATGATTTTTCACATGTAGTGCACTTGTAAAGTCTCTCTCCTGTATGAACCAATGTATGTGTCTTCATACTGCCTTTGGTTGTAAAGGATTTTCCACATGTAGCACACTTAAAAGGTCTCTCTCGTGTATGAACAAATGTATGTTTCTTCAGATCACTTATGGAAGTAAATGATATTTCACACATAGTGCACTTATAATGTCTCTCACCTGTATGGACAAATATATGTGTCTTCATATTGTCTATTCGTGCAAAGGATTTTCCACACGTAGTGCACTTATAAGGTCTCTCCCCTGTATGAACAAATGTGTGTTTCTTCAGAACACTTTTGAAAGTAAATGATTTTTCACATGTAGTGCACTTATAAGGTCTCTCACCTGTATGGACCAATGTATGTCTCTTCATACTACCAATTGTTGTAAAGGATTTTCCACATGTAGTGCACTTATAGGGTCTTGTATGAATTTGTGTATGCTCCTTCATATGGCTTTGGAGTTTAATGGATTCCCCTAATACAGGAGACTTCCCAAAGTGTATCAACAAATGACTCTTTACTTGGTTTAGTTGGAAAAATGTTTTCTCACATGTCAAACATTTAAAGGGGCGCTCTCCGGTGTGATATAATATATGGACCTTCATTGCAGATTGAGATGGACAACTTTGCTCACATATTGGACATTTGAGAGGAAATTTTTTAGAGTCAGTTAACATTTTTACTCTAGCACTTTTTATCACTGTGAATATCACATAAGCAGTCCCTTATCAGAAATAGTACCAGTTTGTAGGACTTATTAAATGTACAACAGATACATGATAGGACAGGCTACATCCCTCATTTAACATTTAATCATCTCGTAGTCAAATCTTGATATGAATAATATTAGGTATTTTTCAATAAACTTGGGGGATTTTCCCAATTCTCTTGTCTTTCTTCGATCTTCTATTGTTTTATATTAGTTCTTAAATCAATATAATTTGCTGTTTTAATTCTTTTAACTGTCTCAACCTAGAACAAAAGTTTTTGTTATAATTTAAATTTTAGTTTAACAAAATGTAATTGATACATTTAATTCGTGTAAGGGAAACAAAATAACATTTAGAGGTATTCTTTAACGTATTACACCAGGGATTATCTCAATTAGTTATTTTTTTTGTGATTAAGATTAAAATTACATTCTCTTTTCTGATGTCTGAACTCATGCCTTCACTTTTGAAAAAGATCATATCTGATTAATCTTACTAATATTATAAATGTGAAGGTTTGTGTGTTTGTTTGTTTTTGCATTTGTTTGTCTGTTTGATGTTCAATCACGCAGAAATTAAAATATTAAAAATTACGCAGAAAAACTACTGGTCGGATCGGGCTGAAATTTGGTATGATAGCACACGTTCTTGATTAACATATGGACATATTCTTACCTAAAGAATCCTTTCGGGCTCCGGCCCAGTGGCTCTGGGGTTTCCCATGTTAACCTTTTGAGTATTCATATTTAAAAGGGATTAAAGAATTTTGTCAGCTGTTTTAACTACATAAGTTGTTCTATGATATTCAATATTATTAAAAGTTACAGTATAAAGTTCATCAACAGGGTGCAGCACTATTATTTTATTTTCATATGACAACATAGCTAATTTGAACCAAGCCGTAACAAAAGCTGTGATGCGCAATGAAAACGGACAAAGTAGGATTGTTTACAGTCAAGTTTATGTTTTCAATTTATAAATAATATTTTGATACTGTGCAAATATTCGATAATATACTTTTTTATTGTTTAGGTGTAGTGGTAGAACATTATGGCTATGGTATAAGTGTTACACTATGGCTTCCGTAAATTAAATAACCAAACTTTCTCAAAACATGTCCTCTTCCATTGCAAACACAAAGCACGAGTATAAGTACAATAAGCATTTTATATAATAATAATAATAATAAAAATCTTTATTTGTCATAAGGATACATTAGATCATCGACAAAGTCAAAATTATGATCATACATCAATTGTCAAACAAAACATAAGCCAACAATAAAATGTTATGTTTTATTTGACGATTGATGTATGATCATAATTTTGACTTTGTCGATGATCTAATGTATCCTTATGGCAAATAAAGATTTTTATTATTATTATATAAAATGCTTATTGTACTTATACTCGTGCTTTGTGTTTGCAATGGAAGAGGACACGAACAAAACACTTTCAATATTTTGAAAAAACAATAGGGCTTAATAACTAAAATAGACTTAAATATGCCAATCCTGTACGAAATACGGGTATTCTGCTAGTAATTTATAAACAAAAAATCTTTTTAAATGCCGCATAATTAAATAGACTAAAATGTGGAAAATAATTTATAAATATGTGGAGAGAACAAAAATAATTGTAAGATTTAAAATGAAGAACGTGGGGTGCATGCAAAAGGAAATTTGATTATTATCTTCACCTATTGAACTAGTCATATCTATTGGCAGATTAAGCATTAGTAATTAACTGTCATGATCTGAAAGATTTGTTATAGACCCTGTTACTTCTGTAAGAGATTGATCTAAATTGGTAAGAACATTGTCTATCGCTGTTGCCCTACTCTAGTTTAAACATCAATATTAAAATCCCCCACAAATAATAAAATTTGTCTCATCCTTTAAACCAACTAGAGAGTTTCTAACAACATATCCAATCTATTAAGAAACTCCATATTTTGCATCCGAGGCTTTCTGTATATACCTACAAGAACAAACTTAAATTTATTTATTTCACACTTTGCTACACAACATTCAAAAATTATATCATCCGTAAGCTCTTCTATTTTTTTTTTTATTTAAAGGCCAAGCTTTCAAACCCTTCTCTGAAAATATCACCACACCTCCACCTGAAGTGGTGGTACTACAATACTCTTAAATTATATCTTTCTAGATTACCTTTAGTCATATTACGCTCAGTCAAAATAACAATATTTGGTTTTATCTCCTCCATTCCAATTCCCAAAGACTCTTTTCTAGATGAGAGGTGTTGAATATTTTGATGAAATATTTTAATTGATTTAAAACTTTGAATGGATAACAATTTTGTTTTTGAATTTTTTGCCAATTTTAAATTTAAGTCATGTTGATGAGGTGGGTCAGTACTTCAATATGACCTTTTTAAAAAGCTTCTTCATGCAGCTTATGAATGCAAACAACTTTTTAAATGTGGTACACTCTTGAGGTTTCTCTCCTGTGAACCAATGTATGTTTCTTCATGGCACATTTGAAAGTAAAAGATTTTTCACACATATTACACTAGTTTACACTTGTAAAGTCTCTCTCCTGTATGAAACAATGTATGTCTCTTCATACTGCCTATTCTTGCAAAGGATTTTCCACATGTAGAGCACTTATAGGGTCTCTCCCCTTGTATGGACCAATGTATGTGTCTTCATATAGTCTATTCGTGCAAAGGATTTGCCACATGTAGAGCACTTATAAGGTCTCTCTCCTGTATGAACCAATGTATGTTTCTGCATATAGTCTATTCGTACAAAGGATTTTCCACATGTAGAGCACTTATAAGGTCTCTCCCCTGTATGAACCAATGTATGTGTCTTCATAGTGCACATTCGTGCAAAGGATTTTCCACATGTAGAGCACTTATAAGGTCTCTCCCCTGTATGAACCAATGTATGTTTCTTCATACTGCCCATTTGTGCAAAGGATTTTCCACATGTAGAGCACTTATAAGGTCTCTCCCCTGTATGAACAAATGTATGTTTCTTAAGATCACTTTTGAAAGTAAATGATTTTTCACATGTAATGCACTTATATGATCTCTCTCCTGTATGAACAAATGTATGTGACTTCAGATCACTTTTGGAAGCAAAGGATTTTTCACATATAGAGCACTTATAAGGTCTCTCCCCTGTATGAACCAATGTATGTTTCTTCATACTGTCTATTCTTGCATAGGATTTTCCACATATAGAGCACTTATAAGGTCTCTCCCCTGTATGAACCAATGTATGTGTCTTCATATTGCCTATTTGTGCAAAGGATTTTCCACATGTAGTGCACTTATATGATCTCTCACCTGTATGAACAAATGTATGTTTCTTCAAAACACTTTTGGAAGTAAATGATTTTTCGCATATAGAGCACTTATAAGGTCTCTCCCCTGTATGAACAAATGTATGTTTCTTCATATGACTATTGGAAGTAAAGGATTTTCCACATATAGGGCACTTATAAGGTCTCTCTCCTGTATGAACAAATGTGTGTATCTTCAGATCACTTCTGGAAGTAAATAATTTTTCACATGCAGTGCACTTATAAGGTCTCTCACCTGTATGGACCATTGTGTGTGTCTTCATATTGCCTATTCTTGCAAAGGATTTTTCACATATAGTGCACTTATAAGGTCTCTCTCCTGTATGAACAAATGTATGTCTCTTCAGATCACTTTTGAAAGTAAATGATTTTTCACATGTAGTGCACTTATAGCGTCTCGTATGAATTTGCGTATGCTCCTTTATATGGCTTTGGAGTTTAATGGATTCCCCACATATAGGAGACTTCCCAAAGTGTATCAACAAATGACTCTTTACTTGGTTTAGTTGGAAAAATGTTTTCTCACATGTCAAACATTTAAAGGGACGCTCTCCAGTGTGATATAATATATGGACCTTCATTGCAGATTGAGATGGACAACTTTGCTCACATATTGGACATTTGAGAGGAAAGTTTTTAGAGTGAGTTAACATTTTTACTCCAGCATTTTTTACTACTGTGAATTCCATCACATAAGCAGTCCCTTATTATAAATCTCAAAAAACCATAGGGAATTGTATGAATTTATATAGTACCAGTTTGTAGGACTTATTAAATGTACAACAGATACATGATAACTGGCTACATCCCTCATTTAACATTTAATCATCTCGTAGTCAAATCTTGATATGAATAATATTAGGTATTTTTCAATACACTTGGGGGATTTTCCCATTTCTCTTGTCTTTCTTCAATCTTCTATTGTTTTATATTAATTCTTAAATCAATATAATCTGCTGTTTTAATTCTTTTGACTGTCTCAACCTACAACAAAAATGTTTGTTATAATTTAAATTCTCGTTTAACAAAATGAATTAATAAATTTAATTTGTGTGAGGGAAACAAAATAACATTTAGAGCTGCTCTTCAAAGTATAACACCAGGTATTATCTCAATTAGTTTTTTTTGTTAATAAGATTAAAATTAGATTCTCTTTTCTGTTCTGAACTCATCTCTTCACTTCTGAAAAAGATCATATCTGATTAATCTTGCTAATATTATAAATGTGAAAGTTTGTGTGTTTGTTTGTTTTTTTCATTTGTTTGTTTGTTTGATGTTCAATCACGCTTTAACTACTGGTCGGATCGGGCTGAAATTTGATATGATGATAGCACACGTTCCTGATTAACATATAGACATTCTTATCTCATACAGTCAAGTTTATGTTTTTAATTTATACAAAATGTTTTGATACTGTGCGAATATTCGATAATTAACTTTTAGCGAATTTCCCCTATCGGTAATAAGCTATTACCGTAGTACTCATGGTAAGACCTGGCCCCGGGACCAATTTACTTTCTCGTCTTGAGGTCCCTAGAGACCAAAAACACCATCTGATCAAATTCATATATATGTATTTATATATATATTTATATCTATATATATATATATTTATATATATATATCTCTATATGTGTCCGTTAGCGCGATAACTCGAGCAAAAATCATCCGATTTTGATGAAATTTGGTACAAACGTGTAAACCTACATTTATTCAAACGAGTTCGCGAACCAGCATGATCGGACTATGGGAACAGGGGTTTATGGGGGGTTTTATGGGGTAAAAATTGGGTTTTCCCATTTTTGACCCTGAAAATTTAAAATTTATCAATTTCTTTCCAAACCATTTTGTATATTGGAGAGTTATTATGCGCCTAATTACTACGGAGAAAATTCTAAAAAAACAGTAAATTTAAAATTCCTATGTTATTCTTATGATGAATAAGTAAACTACAACAGTTTGCTTGTTTATGGACGTATTTTGATTAAATTTGGAAAATGCATTCATTTAATACTAAACTATTAACATTTTACAAAAAAACTCAGTTTTGACCTCCCTGTTGCAGCAAAAATAAGTACTTGTTAAACTAATGCTATTTAAATAGGGAATAAGTGTGATATTTTTAAGGAGACATTTAAGTGTAAATCCAATCAGGCAAATGGAAATTCGCTTAGTCTGCAGGTTTGCTGCGGCGGGGGTATTTTATTGTTAAAGTGTAGTGGTGGAACATTATGGCTATGGTATAGCCTAAGTATTATACTATAGCTTCCGTAAATTAAAATAACCAAACTTTCTCAAACCGTGTCCTCTTCCATTGCAAACACAAAGCATGAGTACAGTATAAGGTCAATAAGCATTTTATACGCCAATCCCGTACTAAGGACGGGTATTGTGCTAGTAATTTATAAATAAAAAAACTTTTTTAAATGCCACATTTTTAAATAGACTAAAATGTAGAAAATAATTTATAAATATGTGGAGAGAACAAAAATACTTGTAAGATTTAAAACGAAGAACGTGGGGTGCATGCAATAGCAAATTTGATTATTATCTTCACCTATTGAACTATTCATATCTATTGGCAGATTAAGCGTTAGTAATTGACTGTCATGATCTGAAAGATTTGTTATAGACCCTGTTACTTCTGTGAGAGATTGATCTAAATTGGTAAGAACATTGTCTATCGCTGTTGCTGATGCCCTACTCTAGTGGGGAAGTCTACTAAATAACTAAAACTATAATAAGCAAGAATATTTTTGAAAAACTGGACCTCTGTTTTCACACTTTAAACATCAGTATTAAAATCCCCCACTAATAATAAAATTTGTCTCATCCTTTAAAGCAACTAGAGTTTCTAACAGCGTATCCAATCTATTAAAAAACTCCATATTTTGCATCCGAGGCTTTCCGTATATACCTACAAGAACAAACTTAAATTTATTTATTTCACACTTTGCTACACAACATTCAAAAATTTTATCTTCCGTAAGCTCTTCTAACTTTTTTTTTATTTAAAGGCCTAGCTTTCAACCCCTTCTCTGAAAATATCATTACACCTCCACATGAAGTGGTGGTACAACAATACTCTTAAATTAAATCTTTCTAGATTACCTCATATTATGCTCAGTCAAAACTTTGGTTTCATCTCTTCCATTACAATTTTCAACAACTCTTTTCTAGATGACAGGTGTTGAATATTTTGATGAAATATTTTTATTGATTTAAAACTTTGAATAGATGATAATTTTGTTTTTGAATTTTTTTCCAATTTTAAATTTAAGTCAGGTTGACGAGGTGGGTCAGTACTTCAATATGAACCTTTATAAAAAGCTTCTTCATGCAGCTTATGAATGCAAACGACTTTTTACATGTGGTACACTCTTGAGGTTTCTCTCCTGTGAACCAATGTATGTTTCTTCATATTGTCTATTCGTGCAAAGGATTTTCCACATGTAGAGCACTTATAAGGTCTCTCACCTGTATGAACAAATGTATGTTTCTTAAGATCACTTGTGGCAGTAAAGGATTTTCCACATGTAGAGCACTTATAAGGTCTCTCACCTGTATGAACAAATGTATGTTTCTTAAGATCACTTGTGGCAGTAAAGGTTTTTTCACATATAGAGCACTTATAAGGCCTCTCATCTGTATGCACAAATGTATGTTTTTTTAAATCACTTTTTGAAGTAAATGATTTTTCACATGTAGTGCACTTGTAGGGTCTCTCTCCTGTATGGACCAATGTATGTCTCTTCATATTGTCTATTGTTGTAAAGGATTTTCCACATGTAGAGCACTTATAAGGTCTCTCCCCTGTATGAACCAATGTATGTGTCTTCATAGTGCGCATTTGTGCAAAGGATTTTCCACATGTAGAGCACTTATAAGGTCTCTCCCCTGTATGGACCATTGTGTGTGTCTTCATATTGCCTATTCTTGCAAAGGATTTTTCACATATAGTGCACTTATAAGGTTTCTCACCTGTATGGACCAATGTATGTGTCTTCATATTGTCTTTTCTTGCAAAGGATTTTCCACATATAGTGCACTTATAGCGTCTCGTATGAATTTGTGTATGCTTCTTCATATGGCTTTGGAGTTTAATGGATTCCCCACATATAGGAGACTTCCCAAAGTGTATCAACAAATGACTCTTTACTTGGTTTAGTTGGAAAAATGTTTTCTCACATGTCAAACATTTAAAGGGGCGCTCTCCGGTGTGATATAATATATGGACCTTCATTGCAGATTGAGATTGACAACTTTGCTCACATATTGGACATTTGAGAGGAAAATTTTTAACGTGAGTTAACATTTTTACTCTAGCACTTTTTATCACTGTGAATTCCATCACATAAGCAGTCCCTTATTATAAATCTCAAAAAACCATAGGGAATTGTATGAGTTTATATAGTACCAGTTTGTAGGACTTATTAAATGTACAACAGATACATGATATGACAGGCTACATCCCTCATTAACATTTAATCATCTCGTAGTCAAATCTTGATATTAATAATATTAGGTATTTTTCAATACACTTGGGGGATTTTTCCCATTTCTCTTGTCTTTCTTCAATCTTCTATTGTTTTATATTAATTCTTAAATCAATATAATCTGCTGTTTTAATTCTTTTAACTGTCTCAACCTACAACAAAAATGTTTGTTATAATTTAAATTCTCGTTTAACAAAATGAATTAATAAATTTAATATGTGTAAGGGAAACAAGATAACATTTAGAGCTGCTCTTCAAAGTATAACACCAGGTATTATCTCAATTAGTTGTTTTTTTTGTTTTTTTTTTTGTTATTAAGATTAAAATTAGATTCTCTTTTCTGGTGTCTGAACTCATCTCTTGACTTCGGAAAAAGATCATATCTGATTAATCTTACTAATATTATAAATGTGAAAGTTAGACGCTCACTAAGAAAGGATTTTACCCTCCGACCTCTGGGCTCCGCCCCAGTGGCTCTGGAGTTTCCCATGTTAACCTTATGAGTACTCATATTTAAATGGAATTAATGAATCTTAACAGCTGTTTCAATTAAACAAGTTGGTTCTGTTCAATGATGTTCAATAGCATTAAAGTTACAAGGATTACCAACAGGGTGCAGCACTATTATCTATTATATTATTAAAGTGATACAATCAAATTTTATGAAAACGCTTAAGGCCATTTACCATATAAAAATATAGGCATATAGCATATCAAAATGAAGCTTAGAGTGTGTAGATTTGCCGAAAAGTATTGATATGGACGAATTCCCTAAGGGCTCTCCCCCACTGGCTGATTTCCAAAGGGCTACGCCTTGCATGTTTTGGAAGTTAACATTATTCGATTAATTTAGTGAACAACAGCTGGCCAATGCAATTGACAATATATAGTTTGTTTACATTTTTGTTTACTTATTTTTTATTTACTTTTATGTTCTTAAACGAGGTGCGGTTGTGACGGGTAATTTGGTAATTTGATAATATTTAATATAAAAAAATAATTCGATTAATTCACTTGGCCTACGTGACAAAATGTAGTCTAGGAGTATCTACAATTTTCCTCTTGGTACAGGCTTGAAAAGTCGGCGCCAATGCGATGACGCAAAACCGTCTCGTATATCTTCGGGGAGGTTCGGGAGCCGAGGGTGAGTTCGGCAGCCAATGGGATTGCTCGAACCATAGGGGTTAGGTGTAGCAGGTAGCGTTGAGAGGGCACATGGCAAGTCAGTCGAGGTATACCACCCTAGATGAATGGACGTGTTATTGTTTGGCTCCAATGTAACCATGTGCCATGTGGTGATTAGTGCTGTCGTGCTGCAGTGGTCGAAGTGAACGCGTTTCCAATTCGAGACGCCTATACTGTACCTTATTTATATTATTCGTCTATGTTGTGAAACCGATTTGTGTGATCTTCACGTTGTTAGTGACAATAATAGTGCTGTTATACCGGTGAGCATACGTCGACATTTCCCGTCTATTGTGAGGGTGGATTTAATGACTTAGCTGCATCTTATCTTGAGATTTATCTTCAGACCGACGTTGGGTATTTTCGACCTCTACCGTTTATGCGAAGACTGAGCCGGGTCGGCATCAAAGGAATGTCTTGCTGAAATCGAACTATTCATTTGACATCACCTTATCGTCTACAGTGGGAGACTGTCGTCTAGTTACAGCTCAGCTGCGGAACCGTAGTCAGCGACGAGACTTCAGATCACCACTCAAACAGGCCAGATTTAATCTAATTTAATTTATTTTATCTAAGCCATAAATCACATATCAATATTTAAAATCATATAGGTAGGCTTGTCTAATTAGCCTATTTAATATTCGTAAACAATCTCTAAATTTATCAATATCTCAACTTATGTTTGATTTTGAATTCTGTAAGTAGTTTATAAATCATCACGTTTAAATAAAGGTCCATTGTTGTTCTCAATTTTCTGTTTTTATTTTCCTGGTTACCGTACAGCAATAATCTAGACCCTAAGTATAAAATCAAAAACGAGGTAGCTTAACTTATCTTATTGGAACCCAAAAAATTATATCCAAATTTTAATTAAATTAAAATACAACAAAGAACAACGTAGCACGGTGAATGGACGGTGAAGCTATTTCTAGCTGTTTGTTACAAGTAAGTGATTAAGGTGTTCGAAACACGATGAATATGAGATTAACAAACCATGTATGTTGTTCGTTCCAAGAGGTTATCACCGATCTTTAACATCAGGTCACCAATTCATTGAAAAATATTTAAGTAAAGTATTAATGACGTCGTGAAAGAGAGCGACGAGCTCAGATACAACCGTACCCACCTCGGCCACCTTAGACGTAAGGTATGAAGGTTCCACTGCCTTTAACATCCTTTCAGATGACAATTTCTCGAACTTGGGCCCTTTAAATGAAATGGGGAAATTCATAGTTGATTAAATTAATTTAGACTTCTGTTTACCCATGAATTCGTGGGTAGAACCTCTTGTTTCTTTTACATTAATGACAACAGCTAATTTGCAACCAAAAGGTGAGTGAGCGTAGCGAACCAACTTCAACCAGGACGTCAGGACGTGATTGAGCCATGCGAACGAGATCATCTTGAAAATTAAGAATTTAAACGGGGCAAAGCCCGCGGGTTAAAGCTAGTTTATAAATAAAAAAACTTTTTAAATGCCACATTTTTAAATGGGCTAAAATGTAGATAGTAATTTATAAATATGTGGAGAGAACAAAAATACTTGTAAGATTTAAAACGAGGAGCGTGGGGTGCATGCATTAGCAAATTTGATTATTATCTTCACCTATTGAACTATTCATATCTATTGGCACATTAGGCGTTAGTAATTGACTGTCATGATCTGAAAGATTTGTTAAAGACCCTGTTACTTCTGTGAGAGATTGATCTAAATTGGTAAGAACATTGTCTATCACTGTTGCTGATGCCCTGATCCAGTGGGGATGTCTACTAAATAACTAAAACTATAATAAGCAAGAATATTTTTGAAAAACTGGACCTCTGTTTTTACACTTTAAAAGTCAATATTAAAATCTCCCACTAGAAATATAAATTGTGCTCCTTTAAAGCAACTAGAGTTTCTAACAGCCTATCCTATCTAATAATATTTTGCATCCGAGGCTTTCCGTATATACGTACAAGAACAAACTTAAATTTATTAATTTACACATTGCTACACAACATACAAAAATTTTTTCTTCCGTAAGCTTTTCTAACTTTTTTTTTATTTAAAGGCCTAGCTTTCAAACCCTTCTCTGAAAATAACACCACACCTTACCTGAAGTGGCGGTACAACAATACTCTTAAATTAAATCTTTCTAGATTACCTTTAGTCATATTATGCTCAGTCAAAACAACAATATTTGGTTTTATCTCCTCCATTACAATTTCCAAAGACTCTTTTCTAGATGACAGGTGATGTATATTTTGATGATGTAGTTTAATTGATTTAAAACTTTAAAAAGATGATAATTTTGTTTTTGAATTTTTTGTCAATTTTAAATTTAATTCAGGTTGACGAGGTAAGTCAGTAGTTCAATATAAACCTTTTTAAAAAGCTTCTTCATACAGCTTATGAATGCAAACACATGTGGTACACTTTGAGGTTTCTCTCCTGTGTACCAATGAATGTTTCTTCATGACATATTTGAAAGTAGGCTAAAAGATTTTTCACACATATTACACTTATTTACATTTGTAAAGTCTCTCTCCAGTATGAACCATTGTATGTTTATTCATACTGCCTATTCTTGCAAAGGATTTTCCACATGTAGTACACTTATAAGGTCTCTCCTTTGTATGAACCAATGTGTGTGTCTTCATATTGTCTACTCTTGCAAAGGATTTTCCACATGTAGAGCACTTATATGATCTCTCTCCTGTATGAACAAATGTATGTGACTTCAGATACTTCTTTGAAGTAAATGATTTTTCACATGTAGTGCACTTGTAAAGTCTCTCTCCTGTATGAACCAATGTATGTGTCTTCATATTGCCTTTGGTTGTAAAGGATTTTCCACATGTAGCACACTTAAAAGGTCTCTCTCGTGTATGAACAAATGTATGTTTCTTCAGATCACTTATGGAAGTAAATGATATTTCACACATAGTGCACTTATAATGTCTCTCACCTGTATGGACAAGTATATGTGTCTTCATATTGCCTATTTGTGCAAAGGATTTTCCACACATAGTGCACTTATAAGGTCTCTCCCCTGTATGAACAAATGTGTGTTTCTTCAAAACACTTTTGAAAGTAAATGATTTTTCACATGTAGTGCACTTATAAGGTCTCTCACCTGTATGGACCAATGTATGTCTTTTCATACTACCAATTGTTGTAAAGGATTTTCCACATGTAGTGCACTTATAGGGTCTTGTATGAATTTGCGTATGCTCCTTCATATGGCTTTGGAGTTTAATGGATTCCCCTAATATAGGAGACTTCCCAAAGTGTATCAACAAATGACTCTTTACTTGGTTTAGTTGGAAAAATGTTTTCTCACATGTCAAACATTTAAAGGGACGCTCTCCGGTGTGATATAATATATGGACCTTCATTGCAGATTGAGATGGACAACTTTGCTCACATATTGGACATTTCAGAGGAAAATTTTTAGAGTGAGTTAACATTTTTACTCCAGCACTTTTTACCACTGTGAATTCCATCACATAAGCAGTCGCTTATCAGATATCACAACAAACCATAGGAAATTGTATGCATTTAAATAGTACCAGTTTGTAGGACTTAAATGTACAACAGATATTTGATAGGATACATCTCTCATTTAACATTTAATCATCTCATAGTCAAATCTTCGTATGAATAATATTAGCTATTTTTCAATACACTTGGGGGATTTTCCCATTTCTCTTGTCTTTCTTCAATCTTCTATTGTTTTATATTAATTCTTAAATCAATATAATCTGCTGTTTTAATTCTTTTAACTGTCTCAACCTACAACAAAAATGTTTGTTATAATTTAAATTCTCGTTTAACAAAATGAATTAATAAATTTAATTTGTGTGAGGGAAACAAAATAACATTTAGAGCTGCTCTTCAAAGTATAACACCAGGTATCATCTCAATTAGTTTTTTTTTGTAATTAAGATTAAAATTAGATTCTCTTTTCTGTTCTGAACTCATCTCTTCACTTCTGAAAAAGATCATATCTGATTAATCTTACTAATATTATAAACGTGAAAGTTTGTGTGTTTGTTTGTTTTTTTCATTTGTTTGTTTGTTTGATGTTCAATCTCGCTTTAACTACTGGTCGGATCGGGCTGAAATTCGATATGATGATAGCACACGTTCCTGATTAACATATAGACATATTCTTATCTCAAGAATCCTTTCGTGCTTCGGCCCAGTGGCTCTGGGGTTTCCCATGTTAACCTTATGAGTATTCATATTTAAAAGGGATTAAAGAATGCTGTCAGCTGTTTCAATTATACAAGTTGTTCTATGATATTTAAAATTATTAAAAGTTATAAGGTTCACCAACAGGGTACAGCACTATTTTTTTATTTTCATATGACAACATAACTAATTTGAACCAAGCCGCAACAAAAGCTGTGATGCACAATGAAAACGGACAAAGTAAAATTGTTTACAGTCAAGTTTATGTTTTCTATTTATAAATAATATTTTGATACTGTGCAAATATTCGATAATATACTTTTTAGCGAATTTTCCATATAGGGAATAAGCTATTACCGTAGTACTCATGGTAAGACCTGGCCCCGGGACCAATTTACTTTCTCATCTTGAGGTCCCTAGAGTCCAAAAACACCATCCGATCAAATTCATATATATACTTATATATATATACTAGCTGACCCGGCGAACTTCGTATCGCCTAAGTTATAGGTTTCCCCTAAGACAGACCGATGGAAAGAAAGTACCGTTACGTTTAATTTTCAAGATGATCTCGTTCGCATCGCTCAATCACGTCCTGGTTGAAGTTTGTTCGCTACGCTCACTCACCTTTGGGTTGGAGTTCGTTCGCTACGCTCATTCACCTTTAGGTTGGAGCTCGTTCGCTTCGCTCACTTGCCTTCAGGTTAGCTCGTTCGCTACGCTAACTCGCCTCCAGGTTGAAGTTCGTTCGCTACGCTCACTCACCTTTTGGTTGCAAATTAGCTGTTGTCATAAATGTAAAAGAAATAATAGTGCTGCACCCTGTTGGTAATCCTTGTAACTTTAATGCTATTGAACATCATAGAACAGAACCAACTTGTTTAATTGAAACAGCTGTTAAGATTCATTAATTCCATTTCTCATAAGGTTAACATGGGAAACTCCAGAGCCACTGGGGCGGAGCCCTTTTAAGAATTTCGAAACGGGAAATAGTTTACGTCCGATTCGCATACCTACAGAATTTACACACCAAATTTCATAACGATCGGTGAAGTCGTTCCGGAGGAGTTTGCAGACAAACACTGTGACACGAGAATTTTATATATTAGATATATTTATATATGTGTCCATTAGCGCGATAACTCGAACAAAAATCATCCGGTTTTTTTAAAATTTGGTACAAACGTGTAAACCTACGTTTATTCAAACAAGCTCGCAAACCAGCATGATCGGACTATTGGAACTGAGGTTTATGGGGGGTTTTATGGGGTAAATATTAGGTTTTCCCATTTTTGACCCTGAAAATTTAAAATTTAGCAATTTCTTTCCAAACCATTTTGTATATTGGAGCGTTATGATGCGCCTAATTACTACGGAGAAAATTCTAAAAAAACAGTAAATTTAAAATTCCTATGTTATCCTTATGATGAATAAGTAAACTGTTGTAGTTTGCTTGTTTATGGACGTATTTTGATTAAATTTGGAAAATGTATTAATTTAATACTGAACTATTAACATTTTACAAAAAAACTCAGTTTTACCCTCCCTGTTGCAGCAAAAATAAGTACTTGTTAAACTAATGCTATTTAAATAGGGAATAAGTGTGATATTTTTAAGGAGACATTTAAGTGTAAATCCAATCAGGCAAATGGAAATTCGCTTAGTCTGCAGGTTTGCTGCGGCGGGGGTATTTTATTGTTTAAGTGTAGTGGTAGAACATTATGGCTATGGTATAGCCTAAGTAATTATACTATAGCTTCCGTAATTAAAATAACCAAACTTTCTCAAACCATGTCCTCTTCCATTGCAAACACAAAGCATGAGTACAGTATAAGTTCAATAAGCATTTTATACGCCAATCCCGTACTAAGGACGGGTATTGTGCAAGTAATTTATAAATAAAAAAACTTTTTTAAATGCCTATTTTTAAATAGACTAAAATGTAGAAAATAATTTATAAATATGTGGAGAGAACAAAAATACTTGTAAGATTTAAAACGAAGAACGTGGGGTGCATGCAATAGCAAATTTGATTATTATCTTCACCTATTGAACTATTCATATCTATTGGCAGATTAAGCGTTTGTAATTGACTGTCATGATCTGAAAGATTTGTTATAGACCCTGTTACTTCTGTGAGAGATTGATCTAAATTGGTAAGAACATTGTCTATCGCTGTTGCTGTTGCCCTACTCTAGTGGGGAAGTCTACTACATAACTAAAACTATAATAAGCAAGAATATTTTTGAAAAACTGGACCTCTGTTTTCACACTTTAAACGTCAGTTTTAAAATCCCCCACAAATAATAAAATTTGTCTCATCCTTTAAAGCAACTACAGTTTCTAACAGCATATCCAATCTATTAAGAAACTCCATATTTTGCATCCGAGGCTTTCTGTATATACCTAAAAGAACAAACTTAAATTTATTTATTTCACACTTTGCTACACAACATTCAAAAATTGTATCTTCCGTAAGCTCTTCTAACTTGTTTTTTAATTTAAAGACCTAGCTTTCAAACCCTTCTCTGAAAATATCACCACACACCTCCACCTGAAGTGGTGGTGCGGCAATACTCTTAAATTAAATCTTTCTAGATTACCTTTTTAGTCATAATTATGGCTCAGTCAAAACAGCAATATTTGGTTTCATCTCCTCCATTACAATTTCCAAAGACCCTTTTCTAGATGACGGGTGTTGATTATTTTGATGAAATATTTTATTTGATTAAAAACTTTGAATAGATGATAATTTTGTTTTTGAATTTTTTGCCAATTTTAAATTTAATTCAGGTTGACGAGGTAAGTCAGTAGTTCAATATAAACCTTTTTAAAAAGCTTCTTCATACAGCTTATGAATGCAAACAACTTTTTACATGTGGTACACTTTGAGATTTCTCTCCTGTGAACCAATGAATGTTTCTTCATGACATATTTGAAAGTAGGCTAAAAGATTTTTCACACATATTACACTTATTTACATTTGTAAAGTCTCTCTCCAGTATGAACCATTGTATGTTTCTTCATACTGCCTATTCTTGCAAAGGATTTTCCACATGTAGTACACTTATAAGGTCTCTCCTTTGTATGAACCAATGTGTGTGTCTTCATATTGTCTACTCTTGCAAAGGATTTTCCACATGTAGAGCACTTATATGATCTCTCTCCTGTATGAACAAATGTATGTGACTTCAGATACTTCTTTGAAGTAAATGATTTTTCACATGTAGTGCACTTGTAAAGTCTCTCTCCTGTATGAACCAATGTATGTGTCTTCATATTGCCTTTGGTTGTAAAGGATTTTCCACATGTAGCACACTTAAAAGGTCTCTCTCGTGTATGAACAAATGTATGTTTCTTCAGATCACTTATGGAAGTAAATGATATTTCACACATAGTGCACTTATAATGTCTCTCACCTGTATGGACAAGTATATGTGTCTTCATATTGCCTATTTGTGCAAAGGATTTTCCACACATAGTGCACTTATAAGGTCTCTCCCCTGTATGAACAAATGTGTGTTTCTTCAAAACACTTTTGAAAGTAAATGATTTTTCACATGTAGTGCACTTATAAGGTCTCTCACCTGTATGGACCAATGTATGTCTTTTCATACTACCAATTGTTGTAAAGGATTTTCCACATGTAGTGCACTTATAGGGTCTTGTATGAATTTGCGTATGCTCCTTCATATGGCTTTGGAGTTTAATGGATTCCCCTAATATAGGAGACTTCCCAAAGTGTATCAACAAATGACTCTTTACTTGGTTTAGTTGGAAAAATGTTTTCTCACATGTCAAACATTTAAAGGGACGCTCTCCGGTGTGATATAATATATGGACCTTCATTGCAGATTGAGATGGACAACTTTGCTCACATATTGGACATTTCAGAGGAAAATTTTTAGAGTGAGTTAACATTTTTACTCCAGCACTTTTTACCACTGTGAATTCCATCACATAAACAGTCGCTTATCAGATATCACAACAAACCATAGGAAATTGTATGCATTTAAATAGTACCAGTTTGTAGGACTTAAATGTACAACAGATATTTGATAGGATACATCTCTCATTTAACATTTAATCATCTCATAGTCAAATCTTCGTATGAATAATATTAGCTATTTTTCAATACACTTGGGGGATTTTCCCATTTCTCTTGTCTTTCTTCAATCTTCTATTGTTTTATATTAATTCTTAAATCAATATAATCTGCTGTTTTAATTCTTTTAACTGTCTCAACCTACAACAAAAATGTTTGTTATAATTTAAATTCTCGTTTAACAAAATGAATTAATAAATTTAATTTGTGTGAGGGAAACAAAATAACATTTAGAGCTGCTCTTCAAAGTATAACACCAGGTATTATCTCAATTAGTTTTTTTTTGTAATTAAGATTAAAATTAGATTCTCTTTTCTGTTCTGAACTCATCTCTTCACTTCTGAAAAAGATCATATCTGATTAATCTTACTAATATTATAAACGTGAAAGTTTGTGTGTTTGTTTGTTTTTTTTCATTTGTTTGTTTGTTTGATGTTCAATCTCGCTTTAACTACTGGTCGGATCGGGCTGAAATTCGATATGATGATAGCA